TCCCATTCAATTCTTCCAGGTTTGCCAATTCATATAAAAGGAAAAGTAACTTTATTAAAGTATCACTCGTTACACGCACTCGCAATTAAAGCGCCGAGGGATGAATGTAATGTTAATCGCTTGAACGCTATCCTGGAGCATTCCTCGCAGCATATTAGATTCTACGGTGCCAGTCTATAGTTAACAACAACAGACAGTTTACGACAAAGCGGAACTTCATAGTATCTTGTATTGCACCATTGTTTTTCAATCAGGGGGCGCTTCAACCGGCTTCTGCCGTCGGCACTACGCGGCTACAGTGTACACAATGAAAGAACAGAAAAGAACCTTCGTCCTTAGACCACTATATAACAACAGCATTCCGATCACGGAAAACTCTATTGATGTCGAGACGCGGCAAAAATCTTTTTGTGAATGCTTTTTTCAACGGCGGAAGAATTGTATGAAAAAAGTACGAGAACAGTTCGTCTGCTACGGACTAATTAGATGTCATTCCTCTAAAAAAGGTTATTTCGATTATGTCATATAGCGACAGGAAAGTAAAGACTCGATTGCGGGGACCTCAGCTAATGAAGACAATATGTCGTACCTATGTGGCGTGCATAGGTCTGTCACAAAAAAAACAGGCATGTATATGAACACTCGTGAATTGAGCAGATCCTGTCAGAGTTGGGGTAAGTTATAGAACACAGTATATCCGACAATGTACTCGTGTGCGCTTGCAGTTGACTGGATTTGTGGTTGGGACCGGGGAGGTCTAAGGAAGCGGAACACTACCGTGGAATAGTGGTACAGATTCTTGTGTAACTCTATACATATATATAGTTGGTCGTCTCTTATTATCCCTTTCCCGCGTATCTTCCTCTTTCTTATAATTTTCTGTCTCCATAGTCCGTTCCAACTACAGACCAACGAGCCGCTAGCGAATTGTAGGTTACCGCGGATATGGTCCCGGTCTAGAAACGGCTCTGCTAAAAGGACCCTGCTCTGCCGGCAGTATGTTATGAATTAATAAGCGTTATAAATGATGTCCGATCGCTACGGCGGAGGCAACAGAAGAGGGCGACGCTGTAGCGTAGTAGGGAGTCTAGCAGCCGCAAGGGTAGCGGCTGCAGAAGGTTCGCTCGCTGGCCGCCCGCATCGGAGAAGAGGTTGTGGGCGCTTGGCGGACTGCACGGGTGGTGCGCACAACGTAGTGGCGGTGATGGCGGCATACCGAGAAGATAGAAGCTTCATCGGGTGCTATGGGGGCTCGAGAATGAGACTAGTGTTAGAAGCCATAAGAGAACTGTTGTTCCGGAAAGCGACACCATGGCTATGGCCGTGGGCACCGGATGGCGAACGCCGCCGCGCGATCGAGGGGCGCCAACTACGCTTACGCTCTACGGCACCACTGGTTCATGGTCTGAGTGAAGGAAAGCCGGCAAAGTGGAACGCACGACGTAGCCAACCAACTGTGACCACCTCAAGCCATAAGAAAGCTCATCAGGGGAATTGGGTTTCTTCGTAGCGAGCGCTGCTAATAGTAGCGGCGTAGGCAGTAGGGAACAAATGAGCTCTTTTCCTTCTAACGAAGCAACGAAAATTAAAGAGAGGGCCAGAAGCTTTCTTCTCCTGTATCCGTCCTTTTCTGCATCGCCTTTTCTTCCGCTCATGCCATCGACAGTCGTTCCCGCTCCTTCCTACCCATTGAAGAGGCATCAACAGCCGCTCCAGTCGTACGCCAACCCCCCTCTGTTTTCCACGCCCTTCGTCGACCACTCTGTGGGCATCCCACGACGGAGTAAGCCCCCTCTGCCAGCGACGGCTGTTATAGGGAGCTTCTTCTTCGGGGATCGCAAGGTTCGCGCTGGCTGATGTAGCGAAGCGCAAGAATGGGCCGAAGCAAAAGGAGAACGGACCCTCACGAGCGTAAGTGATGGCGTAACGTCAGGTCGAGAGCCAACAAAAGGATGACGCCGGCCAACGCGCCGTGCTATTAACCTTCGCTCCGAAAAAACGAAGCAGAAGATGTCTGCTGAAAAGTCAGACGTTATGTTGGAGACAACCGAAGAAGTAGGAATGACCACAGTATACCCAAAGGAAACATAACGGCACGTAAAACACGCGAAAGAACTGACTAGGACACACATACCCTTAAACTGCCGGATGTGTTGTTACAAGCTAGAAGTACATGTACTGTCATGGCAATAAAAAGACAAGACGTTCCGAGAAGGCAATTCTTCGCAGTTTTTTTTAGAGAATTTCTAACTAAATGATATACCAGGTACAAGTCGTAGTGATAGGATGCCCTTTAACAAACACAGTCGATTATCGGTTTGAATAGGGTCTTTGAAGCGTTTAGGGTAGCTCATTTCTAATTATCGTAGAAGAACCGTATGACTCTCCAAAGGGGCCAAAAAAACTATCAAGCTGCAGCAGGCGAATCGAATATCAGATTCATGCAACCGACGTCTAGACTATTGTTGCTCACGATTATTTGTCGGTTAAATTGTATCGATTTGATTTCATTTAAAGCGAGGTTTTCCTGTCACCATCTGTCCTTCTTTATAACTACTGTTAAGTTCTATGTTATTTATTGTGGCATGCAGAATACCGTAACGTACAGCTACGACCCTTGCAACAATTTACCTTGAAACCTATTTTCCTGCATCCGTACAATTTCGTATCACTGTTTCAGCTGTCATTAGCGGCATACCCTGTTATGTCAACCATACGCGTGACCTCTGACATTTGTTCTACCCCTCACATACCTACGTTTATTCTACATATGCACCTCAATTGCTATATAGAAGGGGTTGCGTGAAGTAAAGCGGCTTCGGCTGCAATTGAAGTTAAAGGACTGTCCTACCAAGATGCCGTTCAGATTTCGTGACATACAAAAAAAGTTACTGTGCAGATCAGATGTATAAATCAACAAAGAATAAGAGTAGTACTTTATATTAGTGCAATTCCTATAGAGAATTACTACTTTTTTTTTTTATCCTACCTGCATTCCTACTATGGCAAATTATTCTCGAAATAAATCCTCATGACATGATCCTCAAAACGTGCGAAACTTTTTTGATGTGCTCATGTCCATCTTAGTTAAAACATAGCCTAAAACGATTAGCTTCATCAAAGCATTCGCCATTGCACAGACATCACTTATACCATTTACGAAAGGTAGATTATTGACACAGACGTAGTTGAGACGCGGCAGTCCAAGTTGAGAGGGCAGTCCAAGCACTTAGTACTCCATATCACCATCCGTATATGTATGGTTAACTAGTCCCACACGGCCCAAGCCAGCCCACCCGGTAGCAAAGGCTTATGTAATGATAAGCTTTTTTCTTCGAGCAGGTAGGCAAGCCGCTTTGCTTTGCAGTGAAGCACAGGCAGCCTTTAGGCTGTTTTGAGTGTTTGTTTTCGCACGCGCGAACCGACAGTGCCACCGTTTACCGGGAGGGGCCTTCGCCCAGAGTTCATCGTCTTGACCCCGAAACGCCTCCTTTGCTACATACATCTTCTGGTGCATCTTCAACTATCGTCGTTGCCGTCATCGTTTTGCCCTACCTCGAGGATTTAGTGGATATGGTGTCCATTAGCAGGGTGTTATGGTGCCTCGGTGAATCTCAAACACGACGTCCCTACATTTCAGCCAACCAGAGTGCCTATGGCTGCTTCTACTCTGTCCAAGGATAGGTTTTAAATGCTAAAGGAAGATGAGCAATGTACTCCAATTCCAAATTTTTGCATGGATGATCTGGACAAGCGGACTTAGAAGCGCGAACTCGCGCGAGTTTCATAATTCCAGAAAATGGTAACGTTCGAGAGGAAATAATCCACGAAGCGTGTAGCCTTCATCTTTGTCATCATAAATAACGGAATCCAATAGAGTAAGCAGTTCGTTTGTAACGCTTGTACTGCGTAGGCGGTGGGACGCAATGTGAAAATTATGATGACTTGAAAAATGGAAGGAACGATCATCTCATGGGAAACGACACTAAGGCGATGCCAACAATAAACAACTGAACATATTTACATAATTTTTCCTTTATCATTCCCTAATTTTATACATTTAAAATGTGACTCAAGTGCAACATGAATGATGTGGGATAACAGTTATTCACTTCATCCAGCTTCGGCCACTCTGTCGCGTACATTTGCCCGTATCTGTGAAATAGCAGTGCAGATATTTTTTATGAAATTTAGTCAGATTATCGTATACCGATAATCCCGAGTATATCGATGAAGAAATTCGAAGACCAAAAAACTTCTGCTCGGTGCGTGATGTGGGTCGGAGGTGTTCTTTGACAAAGTTTCAAACCCCGTTCGCTACTAAGAGATGGTCCCCGGCTTTATTTTTTTCCTATCCCAAATAGTTGAGAAGTATTCACAAGATAGCTGGTTTCAGCAGGTCTGGATGTAAGCGTTATTAAAGGATACCGTCAGCGTTCGGCTGATCCTTAGATTAAATGACATAGAAAAGCTTATTAAATCATCTCATTTTACTTCGGTCGACCTTTTTTTTTAATGAGAATATCTAGCAAGTCAAATATGGTATAGCAACTCATGAACAACGGACACGTTTAAGGACAACATTATCCGTGCCGTCATTTCAAAAACCGGCCCAGATGTACGCGCGAAGTAGCCAAAAACTGATTAAAATGAATGGCTGCCGTGAAAATGATTCAGGGAATTCACCCTATGGACGTTGTATTTTAGCAGAATCTTGGATGTGTGAAGTTTGTATTAAAGAACTTTATGCAACTATATTTTTGTTGCGGTCATTTTCAAGTTGCTTTTAACCAGATGTATATTCAAGCTCTATCTATGCATAGATCATCGCTGATGAAAAACACTTGAAACAAGTTGAATACGAGCTACGCTACCATATTTAGCACTACACTAACGTGAACCTCCTAAAAACAAATACGTCCTGTCCACGTCCAATTCGTGCCGTAAACATACAGAAACCAAACGCGAGATTCAACTTATCGTCAGCACAATTGACTCACCTAATTGGCTGTCCTGATAGATATGCTGCTGTGGTTGCTTCGGAGGCGACCCACGTGACGAGCCCGACCCGTGTGGATGTTGGCCGCTTAGAGAGTGTTGATGTCTCGGCAATGACGCTATCGACGGTAGTGGTGGAAGCGGTTTCGTCAGGGTACTTTGTCCAACTCCGCCTACTCGGACGCCCATTGCGCCTATGGCGCCCATACAGGCTCCTGCAACGCCAGGAAGACTTGAGCTGGTCACTCCCGGAACGCCGCCACCCGACGACGGCGCTGGTGGTGGGTAATGGGCCGCCATTGACGCGCGAAGCTGCAATGGCAGAGTTTCGTTGGCCTCAAGCTCCAGCTGTTCATCCGCTTTGTTCACCATTGGACGGCGAACGACGATTCGTCCCAGGCCTCCGCCACGACTCCTGTAATATCAAGATGAAATTTAAAGGAAACTAAATGCTAGACCTTAGTGGCGTTTCTGCATAATTATGTTTATATATACACAAATAGAATTTAGAAACGTTACAAATATCAAGGTAACATGAAAATAGCCGGAGAAACTGCCGCCATATTGTGCTGAAGAAGCAGTTCAAATAGAATTGATGAACAACGCTTTCGAATGGAGCCCGGTAACGTTCATTTGCTACAAGGATATACTACAAGAATCATCTATAATAATGTGGTGAAATATTTGCGTATAGTAATCCCTTGACCGTGAGTGCTCCTTTCTCTATGTTAATAGAGGATTTCAGGTTAATAGATGGATACAATCATAAATTAAAGTACTCTTGGGTTGAATTGAAATGGAAAATTTGTTTAATGCATTTGAAAAGCCCGCCATGATAAGTATCGGATCGCCGTTATTTTCCTATAAAAAGTTGTTATTCGAGTAGTAAGCCCAAAATGTAACATTCATTGTAGTACATTGGATTAAAGTAAGATAATAGTTTATATTTAGTTTATTTAATATTAATAAAACTAAAATATTACTAAAGTTCGATGGCATATATGTACACTGACTTTTTATTACAAAAGAGAAGAACACACAATCAATGAAATAAGATATTTTCTTTCGTTACCTACAAGATCACCCACTACCGAGCTATCAAATGACTATGAATAGCCGAAATTCACTCGCACAACTGAGATCGCATCGTAAAGACCGTAGAGAAAGGCAAAAGACTTAACTTCAATAGAACTTAAAATACTTTTAAATAGATGAAACAAGATAAGTAAGATACTCAAGCGTATATCATCGTATGTGTCCAATCTACAAAGCAGGTATTTGTGCGCATCGAAGCTACACACGCTTCCGCTCCCTACGGCAATGGTACGAAATTGTTGTATTTGAGTATTCAGTATTTTTTTCGTTTACAGGAAACCATTAGGTCAGCTATAATTTAGGCAATATATATATATATATATATATTGGCGGCCATGAAAATACCCGGATGCGGTTCGATCTAATTCGCGATCTCTTCAGAATTATACCCGAGTTAATAATTTCCTTTAAACGAAATGATCGAATGTGAGATCGCTTCAACTTACGCAAATCTTGAACGTATACAATGATGTACATTTGCGCCTCTCGCCTCATTTGATATATTTGGATGTATTTTAAACTCGGTAGTATTTGAAGTTAAGCGTTCCATTTTTAAAGATATATAGGTCTTTGGGAAGCTTTTTCAAATAACCTTTCTCGTTGACACAAAGTAGCTACTTCTTTAGCAGTACACACACACACACAGCCACTAAATCTCTACTCGTCTCATCTGGCTAAGTCAAAACTGTCTGCATTTTCATGAGATGAACGATTACCACTTAAGCCTGTTTGTCTGCCACATGTATTTAAAAGATGTAGACAACAAAAAGATCCCAATACCTCTAGCCAAGCTATTTATTGGCATGTACGCAATCACATTCGGAAGTATATCAATTTAGTCAGGCGAGAGAAAACAGCGACAGTATATTCCCGAGACTAATATATTTGTACTTGCCAATAGGGCAATTCGAACAAACACAAATAAGAACATTAGTTGAATAGAATAGCGCACTCCAAGCACCGACATCGCTACAACCAGGCTCGCTGCCTGGGGAATTAGACGGGTTTCGAGGCGGGGCCTTCTTCTCCTATACCCCTATTAACATATATCAGGGCGACACCCCGTGGCCCAGCTGCTTCGAAAGCTTCAGCATCTACACCACTAGGACCGTTGTCGCTCATCGCTCATACTACGACATCAGAGCTACTGCCGTCAACGGCCCCCACAATAGTCCCTGGCGATGGCGTTGATGCTTATTCCCAATTGTTCTCTTCTCCGTTCACTTACGAGGCCTGCCCCGCTACCCCTACTCAATGGCTAGTTTATTTGCCTCGAAGTCGGTAATGATAACACTCACCAACATGACACCTTGTCCCACTCTACTTCATTTCGCGTCCTGTGTCGTCCTGCCAATGCCTTACCTCGGCTCATGTTGCCATGATGAGCCCCTTGTGTCGTCGATAGAAAATGACAGAATGGATACTGTGTTTGGAAGATAAGTGAAACGAGGCTGCGCTCACAGCCGCAGCAGCAGTACAACGCCGGCAGCCGAATAACCTCGCAGAGCTCGACTCGATCGGCCAGCTCAGCCAGGGATCCCCTGCTACGTGATCCCTGGGGCTTTGTCAGAGGCGTTCAGATGGCAGAGTGCAGTGCCGACTGCGTTGACTGACGATCAAGTCTGGGTTGAGTTTATGCCGAAGACGAATCTTTGGGAGTTGCGCCTGTCTGCCTAACTGCAAACGAATTCTATCGACACCATCTGTCGTCTAGGTAATACGAATAGATGCCGTTTGCAGCTTATTGCTTCGATGCGGTGTCTAAATACGACCACCGAACACACTGGTGCTGCAGATTTGGCTGGCGAAGAGGCCAACGATCCCGGCAATACCTTCCTCATCCTTCAGCCCGCCTTAAGAGTCGGCCGGTCTGTGTAAGTGCAACAAGGAGGTCAATGGAATCGCAAATCGGCCCACCACTAATACGTAACGTACGTCGGCACCGGCGAACAGGTCGCTACAGCCGAATTTATTTATCCACTTGCATATATCGGTAAAGTTATAATGGTAAATGCGCTGCTATTATCCGTTTTGCTGGTTGACTGCCCTACAACAGGTTCACCCTTGTAATCGAATGCGGTTGGATCATAATAAGTTCCACAAAATTTCCGCTAGCGTCCGTTTTTGCATTTCGGCCATATAAAGAGGACCTATATTATCGAACAGCGATCTGGTTTGATCTGGAGGCACAATTTTGACATCAACAGGCACAGTCAAGGCGACAACCGGCTATTGCACCAGCGATGCCCCCTCATACAATGCTGTAAGCTAACGACTGGAATTTCTCACTTGTTCGTCCACGTGTTGTCAAGATCTTCCTTGTCGTTTTCGATATTCGAGCGCACCCTTCAAATGAGATCTGCATCTTTCAGTTTGGCTTACGCTACTAACAGAAGACTGTGCATGCATTCCGTCTGTCAAGCAGCCGACGAGCCCAGCTGAAGGCAAGCAGAAACCATGGCAATTTGAGATAGAGCGGTAACGGGCGTGGGGTAAACTGTAATGTATAAATTGGAAGTAACTTCTGCTCCGCTTGCCTCGATTCGGCGATTGGACAATAAGGGTGCAGTACTCGGCGTCGACGGAGGTAGGAAGAAAAACGGAAATAGGGCTATGCCCATAGGCATGTTCAAACCAAACACTACCGCTGCATTTATGGACCGCTTTTAGAAACCTTCCTCTAACTTGCGCACCAGCTGGCGGTTTGCGAATGTGTGTGTATGTATCTGTATCTGTGTGTGTGTCTGTGTGTGTGTGTGTGTGTGGGTGTGTCTTTGTGTGTATGTATGTGTGTGTGTGTGTGTGTGTGTGTGTGTGTGTGTGTGTGTGCGAATGTACAGTAAAATAGAGAGATAACACAAGGAACGTTCAGCCTGTCAGAAACCAATGTTACAAACGTACGTTACAAGCGACCCGACAGAGATAAAGAGAGCCAGGTGTTAAACTTGTTTGTGAACAGTCATTGCTGTTGAGCAGTCACCCACTTAGAGCTGTATCATCTGCCATTCCGCATCTGCCAGGACTTCTCTCTGTACACGCGCTTGGCTCTGCTTGCTAGGGCAACTTCGATTCGAGCCGTGTTCGAGGTCCTTTCCGTCCCTTGGTTCGACAATCTAATCCCTCTTTATCCGCCTTCCTCACCTTCAAATACTTAAGTCCCTGTACTTTCTAATACCAGCAGTCTTTGCGTCATTTTACAGGCTTGTTCTCCTTCTGGTCTGCGTTTCCACCTACCACCTGCCTTCATAAAGCCTCTTTGTATTGGCTGCCCTTCTTGACTAGTGCTGTTCAGAGTACCGTTCACGGGGGCCAGCACAGCTTCCACCCTGCTCTCCTTTTCCAGAATTTCCACACACCTATCTTGTATTTGCTGTTTCCCTTCTTTTGTCTCTCAGTCACGACTCACGCCACCCCCGTCCAATTCCTTTCGACTATCCATTTCGTCCCATGTGCAGCATCGCTTCCTTGCTGCACCCTTTTTCTTTTTCTAGCTCTTAGTCCTTGCAACACGCTCGTTTTTGTCTCCAGGCAGCGTTTCGATTGGTTGCCCTTTAGTCCGTTACGCGTAGTGCCCCCACTCGAAAAGGACCAAAGTCTCCGTCCGTCAGCTGAGCATCGTAGGTTTAGGCAATCCTACTGCCGAGCAAAGTAGAACAACCAAATGCTGTTGACGTTGGCAATGCTGGTTCATTTGCTGCTGTGCTCCTGTTTCTACCATTCACGAACCACGCGTTCGAGCATCGCGTGCAGCGTCAGGTGTGTGGGAAGAACAGCTGGTAAAGAGCAGGGCGTTGTGTTACTTTCGTTTGCGCTGTTGTGGATGTGTGCGTAAGTATGTATGTATGCCATCGATCGATAATGAAGAAGCATTAGGAAGCTAACGGTTCCGATCGTTGGAGCTGCATTCCTTCTTTCTCCTATTTTGGTCTTTTGGAGGGTTCAATGCAAAGGTCCCCTTCAGCTTAGACAAATTAACGAGTCAGCTAACTTCTTGTTTACTCAACTTCGTGGGTACCACGTAGATTTTTAAAGGGTCAAGTTGGACATGTAGTGAGCCCTAACAGCACCTATTCCAGCGGCGCTCCGTCAAAATGTCATGGTTAAAGATTGATTGACAGAACTACTTAGCCCTGGGTAGTGGATGACCAGCGGTGAAGTTCGCTGTTTAGCGAATCCATTATTTGTAATGAGCAAAGTTACGTTTATCGGTTATATAGCTTTGACTCGTATGTGTCCCGAGGGACCTTTATGTAGAGCCCAAATTTGCAGATGGGTTTCCTTCTTCTATCAACACCCGCAAAAGTATCGTTTAGAGTCCCACGTTTGCTGGAAATATGTGAGACAAACACACGACATTTCGGTCTATCTCGGCGGTATGTCGTCGAAGAGGCTCAGATAAATGGGCTCTGATTAGAAAGCCAGGGTAGTAGAAGGTAACAAAAAGCCGGCTTGTTTTCTTTCTGTGAGCTTCCATCGCTAGCGCTCTCCGTATTACCGCTCTCGCAACTTGTAGTTGTTGGGGCTTCCGACAACGCTTTTACCGACTGCTGCAGAAATACTGGCCTCGACAGCCGAAGTCGGGTTGATGCATGTAGGAGCCGTAGGGGCTGGTTAAAATCGACACTCCAGGCTCCCACAGGCAACCGGTCATGCAGCAGCGACAAGAGGAACAGGCACTCGTATTATCGATGATTGTAAGCATGGCTTCGCTGTTTAGGCGAACGCGGGCAAAGCGCGCCAGGGTCTCGATGATTGTCTGTCGTGTGCATCGCGTTCTCTTGAAAGCAAAAGCAGCATTTTGATCTGATCGAATGCCCTCTGTGAGGCATTGATCTAGCCCCGCCATCAACAATTTTCTAATGTGGTCACGAGATGCGTGTGAGACGACCTTAAAGTCGGGTTCCCGTCAATTTTTCTCGGCCTAGCCGATGGATCTCGCAGCAATTTCGAGATGGGAGCAATACGAGGAACTTTTGCGTGCTTCGAGACCGAAGGGCTGGCTTTGCCCAGTCGAAAAAACTCAATACTGATGCCGTTATTACCGGCAAAAGAAACAATGTACTACATTAAGATGCTTGATTTCCGTACAGGATACATCGGGTTGTAACCAATTGGCTAAATGCGATGCTTGCAGAGCAACTAAAGGGTCCATCAGTTATTCTATATGCATCTATGTTGGGACCTAGATATATGTTTACAGCTTAATAATTATTATAATATATATATATATATATATATATATACATATATAAAATATTGTCGGAAATTCGCTGCAGAAATACCTTTATTCAGGCGTAAAATAAAGTGCCTTAAAAGTAAGAAGTTCTACAGAAATTTGTTATATTTTAGAAGCTATAATGTAGGCGCAAGTGCTGCTCAGGTATATATAAGTAAGAAAAAATTGTCGCTTTCCATCTAGAAACTTCTATGTAAAAAGTTCCTTTAATCCAAAAAAGAAGTTGATTATTGCAGAAATTAAGCAGAACAGAGAAGATATTCTAGAAGTTTGATGTTCAGGTGTCACATAAATTGACGTAACGTAATTTGTTCGATCGTATACCCATAAAAATTTAATTAAAAAAAAAAACTTTGTAGGGAAGCAGCGAAATCGAACTATCACTAATGTGGTTTATCACGGAAAACAATGAAATAAAAAATCAAGTACGCTAGTAGTATGCAAGAGGATGTGCTTCTGCGTAAACGCTAGCAAAACCTGAACTGACGCCACAGAAACTGAAAGAAATCGTGCGTTATGGGTTGCTGGCAAAAAATTATTAATTTGGATCTCTACTGTCAATAAATAAATTATGATAAAAGCATTAAAAAAAACCGACCGGAAATTGGTATACAGAACTGACGCTCTCGCCCACAATCACAATCCCAAGCCACACTCATTTTTAACTATCCGGCGAAAACTGAGATAACTTCGATGTAAAATTTTAATGAATCCATCATATAGTCCGGGCCTTACATTATCAGATCATCAGTGATGAGATTATGACCAGAATGGGAGAAAGTCAGTGGCCGAAATAAGGCATAGTTAGTTTATTAATATTGTTAAATTGTTGTTAAAATATAATATAAAAAATATACTTTTTCTCCCTCTCTCTCTCTATATATATATATAAAGGTAAGATTCGATATTTTTGGTAAAGCAAATTCTGTCTCATCTTAAGGCTCTAACGGCTGCCGTTCTTATCAAAAAAGTATGGCGCATTTTCAACATCTTTACCACTACATTCTATGAATTGGTGTCCTAAAATGATCCGCCGCTGCTAAATCACACGTAAAATCGACGTACTGCTGGCGTTGTTAATACTAAATATTATGAACTATGTTATTTTTTATTGCAAGATGTCTACCGAATTTAACTCCTTTTTTCCTACGATTTGCATCTGTGATCAATCCCTCCACATCCGCCTGAATTTACGTTTTCAAATACATTTCAGGTATAGGCTGAGCAAATAACCAATTCCTTGGAAGGTTACTACCTGCTTAGATTTAGGTCGTTGCTTCGGTTCTTGGTAGTAAATGATATCAACTCTCCATACGACGTCTATACGTCCCCGTCTCCCGCTGCGGCCGGCAGCAAATGCTTTCGCTATTGACTCGAAACGAGTGTGGGCGAATCAGTACGCAGAAAGCAATTCGACTCGTTTGTTCTCCTTGGATGGTTGAGCGGCAGGGCGAGCCCCCAGTGGCAGATCAGTTCCGATTCCATTGTCGAACGGGGACTCGCCTGAAGTGCGAGGCTCCTTCTCGGTTTGTCCGTCGACCGGCGGCTACCTCCGTCCCTTAACGTGCCGGTTAGCTGGTTGACCAATGTACAGCAGCTCGATCGGGGCAGCCTAAACGAACCCGAAGAAATAGTACCATCTCTGTTTTTTATCAAGCAACTGTATGAACCATGCTCGTCTATTTGGCGGGACCTACTTGCTTCATGCTTAACCAGTATCTCGTAGAATCGGAAGAAGAGGACGGATAGAGAAAATCGTCCACTGAAAGCCAAACCGATCTGAGCTGAGAAGATGGTCGATGGTCACTAACCAACGTTCCGTAAACAACGAAACGTATCGAGACTTACAGGATACAGACATGTGGACGTAGTTCCTTAGGTACACAGAGCCTGGATTCAGACTCCAATAAATAACTCCCGCCCGACGTTCTCGTTCCTATTTTCCGTTGTGAGCGACCAAGCAGCCAGACATTTTCAATCACTAGTGCTCATATTAGTCCCCCTTTTCCTCTAAGTAACGCACAATGGACCGCAAGGATATAAGACCTTACACATGTATATATATATATATATATATGTATCCGCCTGAGTATAACGGCTGTAGCTACGGCCTTTACATTTAGCATATCCCATTTGCAGTAGCTACCAGCATCATGAGCGCCACCAACAAGGGGCACGGGGTGTCACACTTACTCGGTAGGGATTCCGTCACTGTTGCATTCACCTGATACCGGCACCGTCGTAAAAGTAGCGACAACGAAGACAACTGCGCCAACTACATGCATGCAATTTAACTGCATACACAGACAGTCACGCTGTCACTTCCATTGGGACTTTCACACTCTACCCACATCATCCAGGGGGGGCAGGGGTCACCAGGATGAATCGGGAATATGAGGAATGAAATGTCATGTAGTAATACTTTTTTCGACTGGGCTTGTAGCCTAAGCAAGCCCCGCATACCGTCACAACCAACGCTCTCCCTGACTCTCTCCTTGTTGCCAGCTTCACTCAAAAACGTCGGGCCCATTATAAGTTCCACAATAATCGGTCTTTGTCGTTGTAGTTGAACAAACGCGGCGCGTTAAGACCACCGGAGGCAGCGATGATGAGGATCAGCAAGTAAAAAGGACATAAGCATTAGAACATTCGCATGCAGTTCAGCCTACGCAGTTGTGGCCCTGGAAAGCGCCGTGTGAATTCTCGCTATCGGACAAAACCATCGTTCATGCGCAAGAGAAAAGGTCATCTGCTGCGTCGCCGCTGCCGGCACATCCACATTGTTTTCTCGCGCCGCTACTGGGCTTGCTGGCTACCTTGCGGACGGCTGTTCTTGTCCGAAGCATAGACAGAAACCAGCGTCTTGCAGTCACGTTGCCCGAATCGACCGCCGAGCTTTGTCCTGGCCTCTCAAACCGGTGCTTTTTCATCTGCTTACAACTAAGATTACGCCTTCTCCTCCTGTACCGCAATAGGAAACGAGATCTTGACTAGAGAGGGAAAACGTGTTACCGAGAACCGGCCGCTAAGTGGTGCTGGTGATGTTCGCTGCCTCGAATGAGTGAAAGCTTAGGATGCGCGCTTTCTGTAGGTGTCTAACCGATGTCTTCAGCGGTATTATCCGTTGGGCCGAATGCGTTTCTGATTCATAAAACATTCATGTGAAGAAAAGACAGTCGAAGCTGTTCTTCCGTTAACCTTGTCATAACTCAAACTGATCGATCAAACTCGTGGTGAGACGCGTGCGTATTCAATATTCAACAGCGGTTATAATAATAAACAATATTCAACACCACCGAAAAGCTGGCGTTGACTATTCGTCTGCTTTTTAGTGGCCTCGTGTTTTCTTTTGTAAGTTACAATATATGATTCTATCCTGTGGTTGGCTTCGCCGTCCTGTGCAACCAGCATGACATGGACAGGGAACTGTAACCCCTGGCACAGTTGGCCAGATTGAATACCCATCCAAAAATCGAACATCAGCTGTACTTTCTTATCCTCTGAACTCGTCCTATGATCTCTACCCAGCAAGTTATAACTATTGATTCGCTTGCTACACGCTGATCTTATGCCGCGACCGTGTCTAACTGCTGATAATAATCAATTATCGATTGTCGGCTTTTCTGTTGCTGCTGCTCCTGCTATTGGAGTTCATGCTGTTATCGTTCGCAAAGTACGTGGAAAAAGCTGCAAGCTGCCGTGGTTTAGCAGCGACGGATGAAGCGTTCGGTAAAAAGGCGCAAGAAAAATGGAGTATTTTGGCTGAGAAGCTTTGAGCACGTAAGTATTTAATCATAATAACTGCCATTATCATCAGCAATCTGTTGATGACAAGGGTTCGAGCTACACTAGTAGTAATAATGATAATACTTTCAATAAAGGACACCACAACTCTGACGATGGCAAGGTTCAGAATCATGGCTCTCTGGGGAGATACACCGCAGTGCCATCTTTCAGGAGGTAGTAACTACAGTCTGCTAATTCAAACATCCATACGTGCATAAAATCGTATCCAAGTCAGTCAAAAAGAAATTCAGCTGTTTTCTGTAGCTGTGCTAAAATGCGTAGTACACGTCTGATTCTTACCAATGCTAAACCGTTAAGGTTTGAAGAACGTGCTAAAGTAAAATAGAATTTGCTTCATAACATAGTCGATGGTAAAATACGTTTCGGATCCTCTAGTACAAGTAGCCGATACCAGAAATGGGTATGTGATAACTGAGGTGCGGCATCATTTTTGTCAAATCGAACAAAGTACACCTTGGACAAAAAGGTCACGTTAAGTTGAAGGCTGATGACGAAAAAGAAAGCAGTAGTCAAGGGGTACGATGAGAGTAGGTCAGATTGGCTCGACTTCCAGCTCAATATATACACATAGGACTTAACGATCGGCTTTGTCGGCTATCGGTCTGTCTCTAAGGTACTTTGTACATGTCTTGATTTAGCTGTTGACCCAAAGCCCTGTGGACGTTCCAACAGCGGATGGTATACAGCGTACAACCGCCGTTCTCTCATCTTGTGTGGCTGATCGTTGCCACAGAAAAACCTAACTTTTTTTTTCGCTTGTCTGAGACAAATTTCTTGCCCGGCTAGGAAGGCAAGAGTTGACGGAGGTACAGCTTTGCGGATTCAAGGACAAACCCGCGAAGGGAAAGCGTAGAGTTTGAAAGACAATGACAGAGGAACAGTAAAAGCTCACGCCAGCATTACTAGCATTAAGACACCTAATAAAGCCTGGCCCCCCTCATGAAAGGCCAATTCAAATCGTACATTGCATGTTATTAGAAAGCCAAACGCTGCAAATGATGCGGCAATTTTATTTCGACTCGCGTTGAATTTGTTTTGAATTATCGACTTGTCGGTACTCGGTAAATTGAGCCAAAAAAAATCGGTTTAGTTCTGCTTATTTTCCGCAAAAATATCCACTAAATAACTGTATGTGCGCCTCATTATAAGTGGCATTTTTTCAAGTTATAGGACGGTCGAGTTTCTTTGAGCGCCACACCCGGTACCTCGTATTAGAATGAGCTATCACTTTTTTTATTAATCGCAATTACTTTGCCAAATTGTGTTTCATCGCTGACGGCAGGATAGTTTGTCAAACCGCTGTAGTATCTTAAAAACTTAGTCGACCCGGGCATCCCAAGGTCATAAAAATTCTTTGCTTATATTACTTACATCTTCCTATTAAAAGCATGCATAACACAGTAATGCTAGTGCTTAGAAATAGCATGTCTGGTTTTTTCAAGACGGAAAATGTTATCGATTATTAAAACGACAACTCTAAGATTATAAGTTGTTTGTAGTTTATTTATATCAAGCAACATAAACTTATGATATAAATATATGTATTGTTAAAAAAGCAATAGGCTTCGTCACTTTTCCTGCTTTGTATTTCGTTTGTAATGCGAAAAATATTATTTTCTGTTAGAAAGCTCATTCTTTACTCTGCAAACAGAAGTGCGTTCGGGTCATAAAATTATATCTTGAATTCGAACTTTCAATGTCAGTTGAACATGATAAAGTGAATTTCCTTCATTAATTTTTCCCCGATGTTAAGGAACTGCGGTAGGACTTTGAAAACTTCATGATAATGACCTTATAGCTAGGAAATCTAAGTTCATTCAATAAGTATCGTGGTCACAAACAATTATCTTACTTAAAACTATGACATTTTTTTTTTGTCAAATTGTTGAGGTGCGTCCTTTAGATGAAAAATGCTCTCTATGGATTTAGCAGGCCACTTTTGAATGAGTCCTTTTATCTACAGGGTCCTCGTTTTACACACCGCACCTTGTTTCCTTATATTACGATTTGTTGAAAATGCTATTTTTTTCCACTTTCGGAGCCACAACGTATCGTGTAATATAAATCAAAGTTTGCACATTGTAATCTTCGTCTCGGGTTGGTTATGACCTGAAGGAGCTATATGGTTATTATCATTATTGAATGGATACTAGAAGTTTTTGTTTCGACAACACCCTTCTCTCGAATTACCTAACCAATAATTTACAAAACCCCCAAGGTCACTTGTGTTCTCGTTTGTTTTTAACAATGTATCATGCAGTTCTGTGCATCGATTATTGTCCTTTTTTTTGGCGAGTTACGCTTGCGCCTACGAGACAAGATGCACTTGAACGCAGACAGACGCTTATACTGGATTTCTTTTTGGCTAGGACAGAGCTTGCATTGTTCGACAGCCATTGCAGGCTTCCTTCCGCCTTCATTCTTCCGGGGATGCTCAACGCATGATGGTGGTGATGGTGAGAGATCGTAATGATTTTTCTAGCTGTTCCATAGAAAAACATCTGGCTCGTCTAGGGTATGCGGACGCAATATTCGTATATGAGGAGCGAAACTGGTTCGCAAAACTTGTCCTCGACACATGACTGAAGTTGAGCCCAAACGAACTTTGCGGCAGCTGTCAAGGAGATCACAACTATTTACAGAGGAAAGCTGACAAGCGTATGACCTCACAAAGTCGCTGGCAACGCTCTAATGGCACTCAACCTTACGCCCTGGGCAGCAGCCCTGGTATAGCTCTGACACTTCAATGAAAACTTGCCATCCTGGTCTTTTTGCCTGCTCGGATGAGCGAGAACAAAGCATTCT